ACCCCTTGTGGGGGAAGTAACAGAAGGAGTGGACCGATATATCCCATCTTCACAGCAGATCTTGAGTTAGTAGGTATAATGGGATGTGTTTGTTTTGGTTATTCAAAACTTTGACCCTTTGAGGGGGAGATACCAGAAGGAATGGTCCGATCTCCTTATAATAGAGGCACATTTTTTACTGGGATTTTCGTAATGGGTACTACAGCCTATGACAAAAAATTGCTTATGCGTGGCCATATCTTCGCATTTTGCAAAGCAGATCTTGTGTCAGTATATATAATGGGATGTGTGAAATATGAAGAGAACCGGATGCTTATTTCGGATTTTATAATTATTTTGGTCATTCAAAACATTGACCCTTTAAGGGTGTTCACGAATAAGTGAACATCTTTTTATAATTAAAGGCAATAGCGGGGCTACCTACTATAGCTGAGAGGGATTTGTTAAACAGGGATCTTCTTAATACTTTCCATATTAAAAAAGATAATAAAATGTGGTGAGCAGACCTTCGAGTTAGAAATAAATAATAAAGAATTTTCAATTGTTGCATGTGTTATGGTGGAGTTAGATTACGGGATGTAATCTTTACTCAGACTGATAAGCAAGTGCAGCATGTTTGCTTGCCACAGGTGAGTTAGCTATGCGTGTTTATGACCTCCCACTAAGGTTTATGTTGGATTGGTGCATAGGCATGTACACAGTTGGTATCTCTCTTTCATTTACACTTAATGATTAATGAATTTTGATTAAGTCGTATAACTAGTTATTAAGAAATATTTTTAATAAACCCATTTTGTGTCTTACAAACGCTCGAAAGGAAAATACTTTGCGTCTTTTAATTATTGATCCCGATTTACAATGGGGGAAGTTCCAGAAGGAATGGTGCGATATCTACCATCTTTATTTGATGACTCAGCACTGATGCAAATATAAGCATTTGCTAAGTAGGAGCAAAATCGGAGCATCCTTTCTTCCTATGTGCATTAAAATATTTTTTTTGAAAATTTCGACCTTTTGTGTGAGAGGTAGCAGAAGGAGTGGACCGATATTGCCCACATCCAATAATAATGTTACGAGGTACCAAGTTTGAACTAAATCGGATACTGTCGTCGAAAGACAGACAGACACCAAATGTCCTGAAACGGATTTGGTTCAAAGAGACCTAGGTTCTATAACCGTTATTTGGATGAGGCACGCTTCGGCCGTATCAAATGATAGTCGTATGGCTGAGGGTATATAAATATATCTTCTCATCTCCGGATATATTTTAAATCCGGGATCTACATACTAACGGAAAGCAATACTGGGTACAGCATTAGTACTGCGGTACATTCCACAGTCACAAATATTTCCGCAAAGGCGTTCAACTTAAAATTTTATTTGCATTATTTTCCTTCCAAAATCTGAATTATTTTTCATCAATTGTCTCCATATTAGGTTTTTGTATACACCAATTTTGGCTATTTTCTAATTGTGTATGTGTTCGTAAAGTCGATAAGGGTTTTATATATGTAGTGTCAATTTGTCCCTATGTAGAAGTTGCACACATTGTGTGATACATGGACAACATTTCAGTTGTGAAATACACGAACAAAGTACATATGTACTTTTTCGACCACAGCGAGCCCTATTTTCATCGGAAAAAGATAATTTAATCAAAAGTGTTGTTTGTTTGTTATTTGAAAATATGGTAAATTCGATTTATATTTATATTATAATTTATAATTTTTTATAAAATACAATATGATCACGATGAAACCACAGGAAAAAACATATGCAAGTGTGTGATAGCAAGAATTATGAGTCATATGTTTTAATTATGTTTTTTTTTTATACGAGTAACAGACAGTAGAGTGACCATAACAAATTTTAAAGTAAAAAGTAAAGAAATAAAGCTAATTGAGTTCGCGGCGTCCGACGAAATTTTCGCCGGCGCCGTGATTGTGTGCGTTTCCATATACACATATGTTTTTATTTTTGACGACGAACATACGCCGCGAAAAATTCGTCGTTCGCTCCAATTGTGTTCCTAGCATAATGGTGTATCCATGGTAGAAGAATACAGGTAGTTGCATCAACGCTTGAGAAGATTGATATGTCAAAAAATTTTAAATGATTTTTCAAAAATAAATAGATTTTTATAAGTTTTCATATACGACACTAAGCGGAGGTTCTTATGATATGCATTTTTCAAGACTAATTACAAATTTAAATAATTTTTCATTCAACATTTTCAATTCCAAAATTGGTTTGACAGTTCATTGTCCCAGCAGCTGTGACGATGCGTCTACCTATATTCTTCTACCATGGGTGTATCTTAACCATGGTAGAAGTAATAGGTAGACGCATCGACACAGCTGTTGGGACAATGAACTGTCAAACCAATTTTGGAATTGAAAATGTTGAATGAAAAATTATTTAAATTTGTAAAAATTGTTGAATAACGCGAATTATAATAGCCTCCGAATGACTTAATATAAGAAAACATATTAAAATCTACTTATATTTGTAAAAATATTTAAAATTTTTTGACATATCAATGCTCCCAAGCGTTGATGCATCTACCTATATTCTTCTGCCATGATCTTAACACAGAATATTAACCCACTGCATCTAATAAACCCAGTGGGTTAATCTTCAACTGTATAAATGCACTATAACGAGGTTTTCTCGATGACTTTATTGACACTGAAAAAGATTGGAGGGAACATGATTTGTTTTACATGAAGGTTTGATTAAGCATGCATTGAACTGTATATATTTTTGACGTATATTTCATTAATTTAACAAGCTAGTCGCCCATTCATCACATTAATGTATAAGTACAAAATGTAACACTTGATTTTTTTATATATTCTGTTTAATAGTAACTGGTGCATTAAACTGTGCCAACACCCTGTTTGTACATCAAGTGTGCACTCTATTACCGACCCTATAAACAGGGTGACTAGCTACTAATATAATTTGTATGTGATTGTTGATAAAACTGTTGACGAAACATTGTGGCATTGCCAGCATCAATTATTTTGGTAGAAGAACTAAAGTCCAAGATATTTTCAATGTTTTTTTGACCAATAGAAAATTTACTGTCATTATCAACGATTATATGTCAAACTTTGACACAATTTTCAACTTATTCCTGATTTGTCACACGTCTCCGAAAATCTATTTTATATGCGGATGATTGTCTGATATATAGTCATTACAACTCGCCAATAAATGCTCTTAATAATGCACAGTACCATCTTGAAATTATAAAAGTATACTACACGAATAGGAAATTTCCATAAATCTAGCAAAGTCGAAGGCAATTAGTATTAGAAACGCTTCAGGAAAATGCCATAGAACTGTAGTGCCTGAATACAAATTATAGCATCTCTCACTTGGTGGAAGAAAAATCCTTTTAAGAACATCTTAAAGTATTAAATTAATAAATAAACATAAAAAACTTTTCAAATTAAATGATCACGCTGGAGCCGCTCTGAAGAAAGCCAAAATGACAGCTAGTCGTTTATATCATGAGCAATACTTATCTGCCGCGGAATACTAAGTTGCTCCTATATAAAATTATATGTTACCCCAATCGGGTTAAAGTCATTGAAATTTCAAAAAGTGCAAGAACTTACACCGCAACAGAAAGAAAATAGACTCAAAAGAGCTTAAGAGTTGCTTCGATTGGCCGAAAGTGGTGAACTGCCGAATTTGGTTTTCTTCGATGAGAAAATATTCGTTGTTCAGCAGTTTGTAAACAATCAAAATGATCGTGTTTACTTGCCAAAGAGGTCAGCTGAAAATGTGCACCTTCGGTTGGCCACCAGACCTCAAACGCCGGCTATGGTGATGCCTTGGCACTCAAACATTTTGGCCGCAGACTTCGGGATTCCAACAGGACTCCGCACGCCCCACCCAAGAATGGTTACAAAATGAGGTTCTTCGCTTCATTTCCAGCGCACAGTGGCCACTATTGTGTCTGGAGTATTTTGGAAGGCAAGGTTGGCACTAAAAATACCAAAGCGTCTAAAAATACTGCAGAGCAACATTTGGACAGCGTGTGACGGTTTAATTGGCCGTTTGAAGGCCATAATTCGTGCCAAAGGTGACCAATTCCAACAAATCTAAACTTATTCTAAAATTTGATGCTATTTCCGACATTAAAAAAAAAGTAAAAACCGGATTTTTTATTATACTCTCCACCATAGTATGGGGGTACATTAAGTTGGTCATTCCGTCTGTAACACCTCGAAATATACATTTTAGACCCCACAAAGTATATATATTCTTGATCATCATAAAATGATCAGCATAGTATCCGTCTGTGGAAATCATTCTAGCTTCCGAACGAAATGAAGTAGGTGTATTATGTCTGCAGGACTTTTGGTATTGAAAATGGGTGATGCAGGTCCACGTCTTTGTATAGCCCCCACATAACGGTACCTCCCGATATTCTGTATTTTGATGATTTTAGCGACATTATTCACCGGAATTGTTTAAAATTTGGTATTTAAAGTTCGTAATGGATACTACTGGCTATGACAGAAAATTATCTGTGCAGGTCCACGTCTTCATATAGCCCCCATATAACGGTACATCCCTATTTTCTGAATTTTGATGATTTTAGCTACATTATTCACTGAATTTTTTTAATCAAGTTTCGCATTTGAATATTGTAATAGTTTATGACAAAAGTTTCCTATGCAGGTCCACGTCGTCGTATAGAACCTAATATAATTCGGGGTATTTTTAAGATTTTATCAGAATTTTTAACGGATTATATTTGTTTTGAAAATTTCCAAAATAGTTCAAATAGTGGTATCGGCCCGGCCGAACTTACAGCTTTTTTACTTGTTTACACTACAATGGTTAATTGACCTATTTGAGTGTCATTCAATTGAGATCCCTATCCATGAGACACCATCAGACTTTTTATCAATTTGTTCTGTAAGCAAATAACACACATACGCCCATCCCCATACATACATAAGTACCTTCGACAACACTTGAGTGTAAATTATGGGAAAGAAATATCGGCACATAATTGCAGATTACATTAAACTATCTTTCATTACAAACTTATCAAGAAGCATAATCGAAGATAAAAATAGATAACCACAGCTGAAGGAACAATATTTTCAATATAAAAAGTTAAACTGGAAACGTTAACTTCAGTTAACTTTCGGGTTTACTAAACAGAAGGTAAAAAGAGACAATGAATTCACATTTCTTCGGTTTATTGCTGTGTGGTGTTATTCTTATTGCCACAAGTTGGGCAAATCCTACGGATCATAATTTGCTCCATAGTGATGTCACTTCCCAAGAATCAATCCCCAGTGTTCCAACTTTAAACTCTTGCAATAGCGTTTGTCCTCGTAACTTGGATCCGATTTGTGCAGTGGATGTAGACAATGATCAAAATATTAAATACTTCCCAAATACTTGTCTGATGGAAAATGATGCATGTCGCCGTGGTAGAGGTATGTCCGGAAGGACACGTAATATATTGTTTTTATTGATATTGAAATGAATGTTTTTCTTTGTTTTTTCGTTAGTCTGGAAACCAATTCAGTTGCTACAATGCGCTGCGGATATTGATCCAGGACTACGTGATGGCTGTGTACACGCTTGTCCCTTCAACTATGATCCGATTTGTGCAAGGACAACCAAAAATGGCGCTGAGGGCAAAGTACACGAATATATTCAAATTTTCGCCAATCGCTGCGTTTTCGATATGGAGAACTGCTTAGCCAGCGGAAGTAAGTTTTATGTTTTCTTTTTTGCTATTTTGGCTTATCAATGATGACACACGAACATAATTGTGTGTCTAGTAGTTGTAAATCACTTTCGAAAAGCGTCGGTAACTTTATTTCTGCGATATTGAAATGACTAATTACTGAGAAATTTTGAAAAGGCTTTCAAGTAACAATATATAATATCTTTTGAAAATTGGGTACATTATCAGGATTATTTGTTTAATCTGGATATACAGTGTGAGATAAAAAAACTGCAACGAAGTCAAACGCCATAATTTTTAAATTTTATTGAATAAAAGCAAAAATTCCGGAAATAATATCAAATTTTAGGATAAGTTTCGACTTAGCACGAATTATGGCCTTCAAACGGCCAATGAAACCGCCACACGCTGCCCGAATGTTGCTCTGCGGTATTTTGGCCCGAGGAAGCGAGGAACCTCATTTTGTAACCATTCTTGGGTGGCGCGTGTTGAGTTCTGTTGGAATGTCCAAGGTCTGCGGCCAAAATGTTTGGCTGCCCAAGGCTTTAAAACACCCTCCAGAATATTTTCGCGATAATATTCGGCATTTATTCTGATGCCACGGTCGATTAGTAAGAGCGGATAGCGACCATCGGCTGTTATGGCGGTCCACACCATCATCATGGCCGGCGCTTGAGTTCTGGTGGCCAACCGAAGGTGCACATTTTCAGCTTACCTCTTTGGCAAGTAAAAACGATCATTTTGTTTGTTTACAAACTGCTGGACAACGTAGGTTTTCTCATCGGAGAAAACCCAATTCGGCAGTTCACCACACTCGACCAAGCGAAGCAACTCTTTAGCTCTTTTAAGTCTATTTTCTTTCTGTTGAGGTGTAAGTTCTTGCACTTTTTGGAATGTCAATGGCTTTACCCCGAGCTCATTTTTCAATATTTGCCGAATGGAATATTGCGATCAAGTCGCTTCTTTACTTTTCGAATCATTTCTGCTGATGTTGCTGTTTTCTTCCGTCCACTTTCTTGACGTCCGGCTACACTACCAGTATCAGGGTAACGAGCTATGGTACGAGACACAAAAGATTTATTGACATTTAGATGCTGGAGTGCTCTAACGATAGCCACTTGTGATTTTCCAGCCAAAAATTAAGAAATCACACTATCTCGCTTGAATTCCATCCTGTATATATACATAAACAAACATTAGCTGAGCGGATATTTATATCCCCTAAGGGTGTATCTAAATCTAGGAAGTCAGCGCCGCTAGATTTATGAACCCAAATGTGTTAACCTTCAATACTGTCAACGTACTTTTAGTCAACGTATAAGAAGATCAACGGTTATATAAATATCGACGGGACTTTACATTTCCCCTACTTTTTGATAAAAATGAGAATACATACAACGCCTTTTTAAAGTGCTTAAGTCATCGGCTGGCTTCTTCGGAAAAGAAAAAAGAAGCATAGGGCCAAAATCGAACTAAGTCAACCTGAAACTACTTTGTTTCTCTACGAAGAAGCCAGCCAAAAAATCTGTTTTTGTGGAGCGGATAAGCCCACATCATATTGTGTATAATTGATGTATTCCCGTACTTTCTTTCATTTGCGTGGCATTGCATTTTCTTACAGAGTGGCAAACTCTCTTTCAAAATGTTAAGGTACATAGTCTGATCCATAATACCCCCAAGAAAACGCAATACACCTGGTCCAGAGGCTGAAAATGAACCCAACACCACTTCCAACCCACCACCGTGCTTCACTGTAGGATTCATATTTTTGGCAAGGAGCGCTTCATTTGCCTTTCTCCATACATAAGGTCTGCCATCTGAACCAAAAAGGTTGAATTTGCTATCGTCCGTGAACAGTACATACTTCCAAAATGAAAAATCTTTTGATATGAGCTTCTTGGCAAATCGCAATCTTACTTCTTGATTTCGCTTGCTGATTAGAGGTTTATGTCTAGCTCTTCTTCTTATGCAGTATTTTCTTATTGTTTGAGGGCAACATACTTTTCCCAAATTCTTTTTAGCAATTTTTGCATCCTTCAGTGCACTCTAAAACGGATCCTTTTTGCTCTGCCATAAAATATACTTCTCATCACTCAAGGTAAATATTTTATTATTTGCCGTTGTTGACTTATTTTCTACACATCCATCTATTTTGAGCCGTTATATGATGTACTGAACTGTAGATCGGCCTCTATTTTGTTGAATAAATAAATGCAGTAAACTTTTTTCTACGGCTAGTTCTAATACCCTATACACTAATAAAAAATATGGGGGTTTTCTGGTAGTGAATTTGATAACAATCACATATTGCATGAAAGAAAATTGTTTGGTAAGTGCCCGAGTTTCGCTTGGAGCTACTGTAAGCTACCGGCCCGATTCAGGTATTTTAAAATTGTAATTATATTTTCTCGTAAATTTGGGCAGAAGTTCTACTAATTTTTCATGTACAAAACAGTACTGAAAACCCTCCAATACTTGTGCTCAAAATTTAGCTATTTTTTTTAACAACACTAAATGTATTCTCACCTGTCTCGTTTTATCCTCTATTTGCAGAATGGATTGAAGTACGTGGTGAAATGTGTGGTTTGGATGAAGACTAAAAAAGTTTCTTACTTTTCTTTTTTTGAAATAAGTGTATCAAAACTGTAATTCTTGGATAAATTTATTTTGTAAATACAAATATATTCATATCACAATTGTTTATTTGGTTTATAGATTAATTTAGGGTTTTATTTTACATTATGCATCATTCAAGTTAAGCTAGATTTACACGATAGAATCTTTCTCCAAAATGCGTCACGAGTTTGATGTTATATTGCAAACATGATAGAATAATATAGGTACACGCATCGACAAAGGTGCTAGGACAGTGAACTGTCAAACCAAATTTGGAATTGAAAATGTTGAATGAAAAATTATTTAAATTGTAAAAATTGTTGAAAAGCGAGTATTTTAATATCCTCCGAATGACGTCGTATAAGAAAACATAAAAATCTACTTATATTTGAAAAGAAATTTTGTTTCTTCTCTACCTGTATTTTTTTACCATGATTACAAATTCTTTCAAATTTTTTCGAACAAAGCTTTTAAAGATTTTGTTGGTGTCGTGTAAAGAGCGTAAATTTATTTCTATTTAAAAACCAGTAAGGAAAGGTCAAAAGTCGGGCGGGACCGAGCTCGGAGCAATAACCGTAAAATCGGATGAAGAAGTATATCAAAGCTATATAAAAATCTGAACCGATTTCGACACAATTTGGTAGAGGTACTTAGAAGCAGTATCTGATGTCCGGTATCAATATCATTTTGTGGAGTACATACTACGCATGAGAGGTACTTTGCCAGAATTCATTGGCTGAAATTGGTTGGAGATATATGGGAGCTATATTTAAATTTGAACCGATTCGATTTCAATAGTGTTCGTTCTTCCTTCTCCATGTTACAAACAAATGTTCAAAGACATAAAACTCTTATCACTATGTGGTGTAGGTTATAAAAATGAAAAGAAAGTGAGAAAATGGGAAAAAATGTAAAAATATATGATAAACATCCACTCAAGATAAACAATATATAAAAAAGGAATTACGTCACTATGCGTTAATAATGGTGCCGTATAAACGCGTTAATTTGTGTACGTAATTTTCAGAGGGAGCAACGTGATTCAAATCGCAATTAGAACATGGTATTAGAGCGAGAAGAAGAATTGTTCAACATCTTCTTTCTCAAATAGTAAAGTCATTTCATTATCTTTTGTAAGAAAAAACAAAGGGCAGGATCTCCACAAAAAAAAAAAAAAAAAAAAAAAAAAAAAAAAAAAAAAAAAAAAAATGCAAAATCTATATATATTTTTGTAGTTTTCCCATTTTACAACATTTTTTGCTTCCAAAAACAAAACAGGCTTACGATGACCAACAATTTTGCGCAATAATAAATCAGCGGATACTGCACTTTGAGTTATGGCCAGAGGTGAGCATAATGCACTATATTTTTAGTGCACTAACAATTTCAATACCAGTAAGCAATTTTGATGAATTTTGAAATTTAATATTTTTATGATTTTTTTTTTTGAATACTTACAACATTTTTTTTTTTTTGGTTTATTTCAGCCATGTTTGACTTTCTTAAAACAAACATTTCAAAATTGAATTCTAGATCGATTGATAATTCCAGCAAAAGAAAACAATCGTTTCACTCGGTCTGAAAATGGAAGTCGGTATTATATTTGACAATTATTTGTTTAACAATTGGATAACTTTTCAGCATTTTCATTAAATTTCACGATAACCATTCTCCAGTTCAGCTATTCTAGTCAAACATCTATCCATTGTAATCAAATGAATGGACAGTTATTTAGCTTATCTTAATTATTATTAAATTCAGACTTAGAAAAGCATGCATCACCAAAGTCTAGAAATTAAGCTGTCTAGAAGAGGAATTTGCTTTAGAAGTCTTCTATTTTTGGAAATTTTAACTCACAATGGTTTTAATGCGGTTTTAGAAATATTAGTTTGAGATCCAGTACTACAATCGCCGCAATGACTGCATCTAATGAATCCTCTTTTAGGTAAAAATTTCAAAAAACCTGTTGAGAAGTGTTTCTTGCATTTCCATATTTACTCTGTCTGTAAATGGAAAAATCGATTCCTTTGCAATGGGTTTATCCACTTTCAAATACTCTTCTAGATATTCAATTTCAGAGCCAAGAAGTGATGGAACTCCAAGCAACAGCTTATGTTTGCATTCTAGTAATTTCTTAACTGAATCGCATAGTGAATTCCACCTTCTAACGCACGGAGTTATGGGCTACGAAGATAAAACTGCACTTCCTGAGTGCAACTGGAAAATAATGGAATATTAATTATTAATATTTAACGTTAGAACGAACCTTTTGTATGTTTTCATGTGAAAAATGCACAATTTTTGTAAAATCCGTTGTTGCCAAAAGGTTCAAAGTATAGGTTGCATACTGAAAATGTTTTATATTATGGAATATCGGCCCTAAGCGAAGTTGCATTCACTGTGATCTAAATTTTCATCAGAATCATTTTCATCTATAGATTAAATATTTTAAACAATGCAAACTTTCAAATTAATTTTCTTTCGCACAAATAGTACTTTCTCAAAGTAACTACAATTCTTTAAATACTTTTACCAAATTCGAGCCGTTGTCTATTATGCACTATAATTCTACATATCATATCTGTCACTATATCAAATGTATGTGCTCCTTTGAATGTTAGGCAAGCCATCGAAACAAACATTCTTTTCAGAAAGAAAACATCCAACAAGTGCATATTATAAAATATATTTTTCCTTCCTGACCAAATGAAGTGCTAACGGACTTGATCAACGTCCAAATCAACTGAGGAATAAAATTAGATATTTCTAATCGAACCTTTACTTGTTTCTGGCTCACATGGCAGGCAGCAATTACTCCACACACATCCCCCTCGTGTATAGTTTTGCTTCTCTAATTAATTTTTCATTTCACAATACATAAATTTATACGTGGAATATTTTATATTACTTTTTTTTAATTCTTCGCTAAGAAGTTTGTTGGCACCTATTAAAATAAGCTCAGAAGGCAAAGAGTTTGTTTTTACTATCGAAAACTTTTTTACTGATCTTCATATTATTTTCTTAAATTTATTACACATTAAACAATTAAACCAAACCCATGTTAACCTAGTTACTTTGTTCGTTAACAAGTTTACAATTTTAACGCCAACTTATAACTAAACTAAGAAAAGCAATACAAAGTAATTATAACTTGTGGAGAAAAAATGGGGAAAATAATAATTGGAATTTATAATAATTAGAATTTAATCTATAATATAACAAAATAATCATGAGTGATGAGAGTCAATGACTAAATTGATGATTTTAATATTTGTGATCAAATATTGTAATGAGAATATATTATATTTGTTGTGCCCTTGCATGGTTATGACAAAAGTATCACTACTAGCAAGTACTTAACTACTAGCAAGAACAACAACAATTATTTTTAAATTATGGATCATAAGTTAGCATAGTTGACTCCTTCTTAAACAAGCTCAAAGAAAAAGACTTCGATTGAATTACTACTAGTTTAAATTGCTCGTAACATTCATAAAATATTTTATTGGAACAATAATATTGAAAAGTGGAAAAAATATTAAATAAAAATATTAATAAAAATAAAATATTAAATATTAAAAATTGTACGTTTATCTGTTTGTTTATTTTTTTAGTTTTTATAAAGAACAAGTAAAAAAGCAGTAAGTTCGGCCGGGCCGAACTTTGACTACCCTCCAACATTTAGAACAATGTTGGAAATTTTCGAAAAAGATAACATTCCCCAAAAATTAAAAATACTGAATATAGCTGTTATATTAGGGTCTGAACGACGCGCATCTACATAGGCATTGTTTGTCACAAGCTATTACCTTATTCAAATTCGAAACTTGAAATAAACGGTGAATAATGTAGTTAAATCATCAAAATACCGTACATAGTACCGTACCGTTATATCGGAGTTATACGAAGACTTGGACCTGCATAGACAATTTTCTGTCACAGGCTGTATTTTCCATTACCATTTTCAAGTACGACATTTCAAACTATTGTACATAAATCCTCAAAATACCGAATATAGGGAGGCACTGATATATGGGGCCTATACGAAGACCTGGGCTGCATAGACAATTTTCTGTCACAGACTGAAGTTTCCATTACGAACTCTAAATACGCAATTTGAAACTACTACGGCGAATAATGTCGCTAAAATTATCAAATATTGGAGGTACAGTTATATGGGGGCAATACGAAGACGTAGACCTGCATAGACAATTTTCTGTCTTAGGCTGTAGTATTCATTACTGACTTCAAACACCAAATTGAATTTGAAACAATTCAAAATATCGACTTTTGGGAGGTACCGTTATATGGGGGCTATATGAAAACGTGGACCTACATGGTCCATTTACGAACATAACCTGCCTACAAATTTTAGCCTTCTATCTCAATTCGTTCGAAAGATGGCGTGATTACAACAGACATACAGACGGACAACGCTAAATCGACTTAGAATTTTACGCTGTCCAAGAATATTATATAATATAATATAATATACTTTGTTGGGTCTGACATGAGTATTTCGAGGAGGTACAAGCGGAATGACAAAGTTAATATACCCTCCATAGTATGGTGGAGGGTATAAAAATAGAAATGGCTAAAATAAAAAGATGGCAAAAAGAGGCAAAAAAGAAGTAAAATTGGAGGAACGTTAAGAGAAATTTGAAGAGATTGTTGAGCCAATTCAAAAGTCGCAAGACTTAAATGAAATCGTGCAAAATGAGACCAATATTTAAATAATTTGTAAGATTAAGACTACTTTCAGAAAGAGTTTATTGCAAAATCCGGCGACCGGTGAAGGATCCCCACAATTACTTCAGGTTGCTGTTCGAAAGGGTTTTTTCAGATAATTTAGCCTGTCAACACATCTGGAAGGGGATCAGTGTAAAACCGAGTGCATAAAAGTGCTATTTGATGACAGTAATGAAAAGTAAGTTTGTCTTTTTAAGACATATATAAAGAATTAGTAAAATGGACAGACAGATCG